AAATGTCCTCCACCTCAATGAAGGTCAGCTTCCTTGGCCTTTTTACCAAATATTTTACACATGCTCAAAGCCAAAGTTTAAAATAAATGCAAAAGGAAAACATTCTGTGCCATGATTGGTCAACTGTCTTGCATCCAGGACCAGAAGGATAAAATGGGGGAAAAAATTATCAGCAGCACAAGACGAAACAAAAACTGTAATTGCAACAACACAATTTAAAGTCTTACTGAACTTTGAAGTACACACAAAACAGCAATTACAACACTAAAACTTCAAACACTGAACTTTTTACTACACCAGTTAAACAAATTAAAATAAATTTTTTAACTAATAAAATATTGAATAGAACATTGTCAACATAAGACTAAACTATTTCTCTTGGGGGGAGGTGAGCCAACCTCACCCATCCAGTTAAGATCGTCCCCTGGCCTTCCAACCCTAAACGAGTGCTGCCTCACCCCATGGTCCACGTAGATTTCCTCTCCCAGCTTGATGTCTCTTGTTTTTATTAGGAGAAATGGGTCTGCCAGGCCTGGGAACTTAACTAACAGACATTTTGTGTTGATGATTTTGGCAGAAAGGTTTATCGGTCAGCCAAAGATGGTGAGCTGCGGATGACTGTCACACAGGTGGACCTGAGAGTTTATGCAGAAGTCCATGGTCCCCAGACTTTAAAAAGTAAATTTATGCATCTTGTCCCGCTTTCAGGGACCCTGCAAGCCGCCAGCCTTGGCAGCAATAGTGAATATTCCATGGTAGTCACATGCGATGGACCCCTTGATGAAAGTCCTGGTTGCAAAGAGTCATGTTGAAGATGAAAAAAAATATTATTTATGANTTTATTATTATTGTAATTACAGAAGTGTCAGTTTCCAAAAAAAAGATCCAGGAACCAGCACTTGATATCCACCCACCTCTTCTGCTGACAATCTTCTTGCTCTCCGAAATAACAAGTCCCATTCACCTCTGGTCCTGGATGTGGCACATAAAGTCCTGGCTGGCTTTTGGGGTGCGGTGGATAGCGCTGTGCAGATCTCCAGGACCTCCTCTGCAGTGTTAGAGTTCCCAGTTCAGTTGGACTTTGCAATGAAGCTCTCCACCTTCTACCGGCTCCGTTTAGCCAGGAGACAGAAACTACCCATGCATGCGGTTAGACCTGAATATAACATGCCCTGCATCAGAACCTGGTATGGTAGGGTCAGTAAGAGGAGGAAAAGAAAAAAAAAACTCAATCAGGTGGTACTGCCTTGTCTTAAACTGAATCATCTGCAACTTGTCAAAGAGGCTCCTTGTCAGGGGGGAATGCTGCCTCCACTTTCTTTTTAGGAGGTGGCGCATCATTCAGGGTTACCTAGAAGACTTGAGAAAAGTGCCCAGGTCTGTGTATCCCTCACAGCTTCGCCTCCACCTTTTGGGCATCAGAGCATTGTCTGTGGAGCTAAAGGAGATAAATACATTAAACACATCACCGAACACAAACATGGCTACCCCAAGATCAAATGCACAAACTCTGCTCAGCTTTAGGTCTCCGCTCTGAGCTTCCACAGGATGCAGGACTGTTGCTTGTTTCCTACTCTGAAGATTGGAATTTTGATTGTAGAGTCCTTTTTTCATCA